TATCTTTCAAGATCAAAATGCAGTTTAAAATATAAAAATCTAGCATGGCTAAACATATTTAAAAACAACAGTGCAACAAATTTAATGACTTTCCAAAATATGAAGTGGGCCCATCTTCAAGACCCACTAATCTCTCCTTTCATGGTCCTATGGAACACACTCCAAGAAAAAATACTTTCTTCAAGCCTTGGCCACCAATTCACGGCCAATATCACCTGCTTTAAGCACAGCAAGGGACTAGCAGGAAAGGCAGCACTGTCTAGCTTCTCAATGGTGCAGCCTCATTGTGTCCAAAGGACTGATTTAGATGCGAGGAAGTGGAGCAACACACAAGCAAGACACTAGGTCTGGCTTCTCTTCCAAATTTAGTACCTATCAATTATGAAGGCTCCCTGAGGAAGCACAACCTTGCAGCTGTATTTCAAATTCTCTGGCACCCACTTCATTAATTAGTGCAGCAATTAGTGATTTTGTTATCAATTCAAGCTGTTTTGTACTTTCTTGTAACCCTGGTCAAACAAAGATGAGAAAATACCTTTCAACATTTAAAAAAATGGATTTGGCTTTGTCATTTTTATACTCAATCTCTTAATAATTATACTCGCAGGTGTGGTTTCCATTGACATTGCCTCTATTAGAAGACAATTATTGAAAGGAAAATTCTCTGACATTCTTAACATGCTATAAGGTCTCATGATTTCCCCAAATCTCTACATGAACCTTATAAGCATTTCAGAATAGAATTATTTTTCTATTAAAATATGACACAGAATGACTCAGACAGAATGGAACCATTTTCCCCTTTTAGGCAAGAAGTCTGAACCTTATCTCAGAGCAGTATGCAGACACTCTTATGTCTGAAACTGAGTTGAATAGATAGATAGATAGATAGATAGATAGATAGATAGATAGATAGATGATAGATAGACAGATAGATAGACATACAGACAGATATTCCATCTTAAACATATTGTATCTTTAGCTTTCATAAAATTTTACATCCATGTCTGTTCAAGAATTTATTCCTTTCCTCCATTGTATGTCCCCTTCTCACAGAGAACAAAAATCTCCAAAAATAATTCTTGAGGTGCTATAAGAATATCACTACCTGTTCCTGGGGGTGAAAATAGTATCAAATGAAAGCCCACTGATTGCTCGCTCCTACCACAGGAGGTCTTTGAAACCAACATGCCGAAGCCACTGTCCCTGCAACCCCACGGAGCTGTCTTGCGCTCTCTTCCCTCCTTCTCCCTCTTCACGTCACTCTTCTACCCATTTCCTCAAGCTGAAATAGCTGAGTCTCAAACAACAAAAATTCATATTTAAACTCCAAATCTCCACGGCTGAGGCCAAGTGCTCATTCACTGTTGAGACTGAAGCAGGCCCTGCTTTCAGAGGTACTTGAGCTTCAAACGTAAACCTTCAGAGAATGTAGTACAGCTCCCTCACCACGTTACACTCAGTCCTTTCCATTTAAGTGGTCTCCTCTTTGTTTTCTTCAATATCCATTCCTACAGTATTGAAGTAAACATGATTTGATCAAATTTTGATGGTCTTACTAGTTTCTTTGCACAACAAATAAACCCCGCTTTTGTAACAAGCATGAACAAATATGAAGCCTAATTTCTTTTGGGACTCCATCTTTGAAAATATTTCTTAATAACACCCAATCAAGAATTTAAACCTCAGTTGCAAATTAAATTTTATCACAATCAAAACACTGAATCCTATAAAGGCAATTAATAGAATTTTTTTTTTTTCAGAACCGAGGATTGAACTCAGGCCCTTGCACTTGCCAGAGAAGCATTTATTCCACTGAGCCATCTCCCCGGCCCCCTAGAATTATTAAGTAGAGGCACAAATAAAATACTTAGAAAAGGAAAACAAAGAAAGAGGAAATTTAATGCAATGTAACTCACATAAGCTTTACTGTTTTGGTATCTCCCAATATGAGAATGTGCTCTAATTTCTCAGCATCCACTTGCACACTGCCAATTCTTTTCTGCCCTAAACCAAGCTCAACAGAACCTTTCTTCACTCCAGTATCCTTCGGCACACGTATTGTCTACTATTCCTACAATAATTATTGCAAGGGGGCCAGGGAGATAGCTCAGTAGAGTAAGTGCTTGCCTGGCAAGCACAAGGGCCTGAGTTCAATCCCCGGTTCTGCCAAATAATAATAATAATAATATCATCATCATCATCGCCTTACAGTACACAATGTGCTGTGTATCTGGAGGCTCAGTTTTACTGACTGTCTGCTGGGTTTTGATTGCTTCAAAGTTCATGATAATAAATATAGACCTTTAAGTAATTATTTGAAAATCTTTTCATTAGGCAACACATTAGAAGGTAAGTTTATTAGGATTGGTCTAAACCTTGGAATCAACTAAATTATATCATTGCATAAAGCTATGCCTGTCACACAGTAACAAACTTAAAAAATTTGTTTCATGAATAGCACACAGAAGCTCCTATAGTTACAGCAAGGGATGGTTAAAGCAACTAATTGATCTCAAAAAAGAAAGTAAATTATCAGCAGTATTTATGGCAAACCTACTATTTAAAGGCATTGCATTGGACTGCTTCCTCTAAGCAAGATGAAATAATAAAGACTAAATTTAATTTCTTAGAAAACTCGGCAAATATTGGCAAAAATATTTTCAGACTTTTGAAAATAGGAATAAAAGACTGAGCCATGGGATAAGAGAAACAAATGAAGTGAGCCATATGATCACTGTCAGGTTTCTCAGAAGAAATTTCTGAACTTAAATAAAGACAGAAGGAACCCACGTCAAGTCTGGCAACTTCCTAAGTTTAGGAAATGAAGACTGAAGTTGACAAAAGGGTGAACAATGACTTAGCAGTTGTGGAGCAGAGCTCTGGAAAGCCAGACAACGGGAGCCCTGGAAAAACGGCAGGTGGAGAGGGCAGAGCAGTAAAAACAGAAGTTTCCAGAAAAACAGAAACTATAGATCTGCATATCCAAGAATTTTAGGCCAGTGTCAACACACACGCATGCGTACACGCACAGGCACCTAGAAAAACTGGGGCACATCATAACTAAATTCTTTGAAATAAGTAATTAAGAAAGATATTGCGAAGCATTCTATTATGTGTTTACATCCTAGGAAACACTAAGGAAAATAAAAAACGTATTGCCGGAATCAAGAAAGATGCTTTAATTTATGTTTAAATGTCAGTGTAACTTGAACGTAATAAATTTCAATTCCCTTCTGTGGTTAGGATGGTAAGAAAGGCAGTGCAGTTGTCTTCTGAGTGATTTAAATTAAATTGAGGCAGCATCAAAAAGGATCTTTTAATTTTTCTTCCTGAGCAGGAAGAAGGCATTTAAATATTACTCATCTTCAGAAAAAAAAAATCTAATTTTAAAGCTTACCTGTTAAGCTTTCAATCTTATCAAATACATCATTCCACAGGATAGTTCTCTTTATTTTTCATACTTCTTTAAGATCATCAACTCATATCATATGCTCTTCCTCAGAGCATCCACTTCAAGTAGATTTGAAGACTTACTACTTTAATATTACTACTGCTGTGGTCCTTGGTTTATACATCAGAATGGGCCTTTTGCAAAACAGCAGCAATAGCTTTGCTCTGTTCACTTCTAGTGTTTTGATTTTTATTTAAGTGCTATGAAAATTTAACATGCTCCTTTGTGCCTGTCACACCTAGTGGATGACTTTTGTTTTTTCCTCAATATAATACTGAAACCAAAGGATGAATAAAATGTAGCAAACACATGATGTGGCTTATGTTAAAGAAATATGATAAAGGTGTACTTCATATGTACTACAACTATCATGGGCATACTGCAAAAAATTACTGTATATTTTTTAAACCAAAGCAGGGTAAAACTACTTTAAGATCCAACAGTAAAATCTATTTTATTCTTTTTTCAACACCATTTAAAAAGACCTACAGCATTAATTTCATTCAATCTCATTAAAGTCAGTGAAATGTTTTCAGTGGGTTTTCCTTAAAGTAGCATTTGGAAGTAAGAAAATCGTTAGTGTATTTTAGTATCTGGACCCATACACTGGAGAAGACATTGCACATTTAGGTCTGCAACCACCAGATACAAATATTGTAAGTGTGATGTACACTATGAAACTAATTAGCTCATTAATAACAAGGTTTTAAGTAATTTCTGGTGTTCTACAGATTCTGATTTCTAGAACAAACTCAAGTACTCTAAATGGTGAGATGATCACTATATAAAAAAGAAAGAAGGCTGACGAAATAGCTCATTGGACTAAGTGCCTACTTGGACAAGCACAAGGACCATGTTTGATACCACAAGCCAGGCCAGCCCTGCCCCCAGGGCACACTAAGCCAAATCCCAGCATGGTGGCGCACACCTGTAATCCCAGCGCTGGGGAGGCTGAAAACAGGAGGATCACTACAAGTCCAAGCTGCATAGTGAGACCCTGTACCAAACACATAAATTAATTTTTAAAAAAGCAAAGAAAAAAGAGGGGGTGAGGGAGAAAAAAAAGAAGAGGAGAGGGAGGGAAAGGGGAAGAAATAAAGGAACAGAAAAGAAGAGTAAGAAAAGAAATTTAAAACAATTCCCCTTTGAAGACAAACTAATGCAGTTGCTGTAGAATGAAGAGAAAACAAAGAATTTTGAAGAAACTTCTTACATTCTTTGATTAAGCAGCCCTGAATGTGACTACATGGCAATAGGTAGGATTGGAATGGAGCTAAAGCTTAATGTGCCAATTTTCTTCCTTCTTTTGAGATTTCTGGACTGCACAGTTCACCTGAATGTATTGTATGAAGTACAAATTTTAGAAAGAAAGGAAAGAAATAATTCCTGCCAGTGTTCAGAGATAGCAGAGCTCAGATCAAAACCTCCAGAGAACCACTTTTTGGTTTCTAGATTTAAGTGTTCTGTGTGAAGTATTTTCATCAAAGAATATAAATGTGGAAGTTCAAGGGGACTGTTTTGTTCCATCACTTTGCAGATCCAGTACCTTGCCTCACCCAGTCTCCATGATGAAGCTTGTGTCCCAAGACATGGCAACACCTGTGACCCCCAGAGCGCAGGTCTTCCCAGTTAATGGTCATTGTAGCATCTTCTTCTTCACATGTACTAACAGGCCGTTCAAATAGGGAAATCGAGGCTGCCGTGAAAACAACTGCTTGAACCTTGAAAGAATTTTTGAAAGACAGGTAAATGTAGACAAGATAATTGTTGCAAGAAGGATTTTATATTATTAAAGCTTATTAAAGAACAGATAATGCATTAGTAAGAATTTTTCAGTACTATTTAGAGGATACAAGGATACAAACAATTACAGTAAAACAACAAGATTGGTTAAGCAACTCGTTATCACTTTTTTTTTTTTTTTTTTTGGTGGAACCGGGGATTGAACTCAGGCCCTTGCGCTTGCCAGGGAAGCGCTTATTCCACTGAGCCATCTCCCCAGCCCCTCGTTATCACTTCTTAAGATACACGTGATTAAAAACAGTAGGACTGAAAAAGTTCCACAATTATGAAGACAAATTAAGCTCCTTCAAAGGGCCCTAGCATATTTCAGTAAGTAATAATTTTACACTTACATGTTGGGTGGAATTTTATAGGAACAGTGAAATGAATGTATCAAATGTCTGGGTTCTAATGCCTCTATCTCTCTGTTATATGATACAGGAAATTAGCATTTCCTCGTTGAACGCTATTCAGAATCCCAAATGCTGATGAGTGGAGGTCAGAACAAATAATTGGAAAGACTTGTGAGAGATAAGCTTAGACATTTAATTTTAAATATTAATTAATAGTGGCATCAGATAGATTAAGTAGCCTATGATGTAAAGCTAGCAGGATTTTTCTCTACATAAGGAATATGTAACTATACAGACACAAAAAGGAAAGCAACAATAATTCATTTTTATAAGCAATTAGATATATTGTAATCTAATCCAAGTCTTCTAGGTATTACATGTGTGACCTTACCAACTATAAAATAGTTCAATTACGAGGTCATATTCATGGTATTTTAATTTCTATTTTGACATACGGTTTTACAATTAAATCTATACTGATCCTTCTCATTCTTCTCTCACTTACCTTTCCAGTTATGTCCCCAAAGGAAAGAATTGATTCATTGATGTCAAGAGAATTGTACCAATAATCCATACAAATTGGCGTTCCTTTCAAGCCTTGGAGTTTATATTGACAGGGAAATTCTTTAGACAGCAGATCATAGAAACAAATTTCTTTGCTTGTAAATGCCACCGCTATCTAAATTAGCAGAAGAGAGGATAAGTCTCTTGAATTGGTAGAATCAATATGCAAGGCAGACGTGCAAATCTAGTTGTCATATGAGACATAGTCCCCTGAGGGTCTTTAACAGTGTTACAGAAGAATAACGTTGTGGCATCATGAACTTCAGCCTAACTTTGGACTTCAACCAGAAGAAGCTTTTCTCCCTGTTTCTGTTCTACACAGCCACAAATATCTTCTGCCCATGGGAGGCAAGAACACTAAGCATGCAGGAAAAGCAAAGACACACAAAGCTATAGCATCACACTGTCACGCCAGATACTTTATTAGCCATATTATATGAAAGCAAGCAGAGATTTTCACAGAAATAAATAAGTAAAAACTGTGTAAGTAGTCTTACTATACATAATACAACATAGCCTAAAGGCTATTTTTAAAAGGGTAAATGATTAAATAACATAAAAATCAGTCAGTGGAAAATCTCCTTGGGGAAACCACACACTAGCTTTATTAGACAAAGTCCTTAATTAAGCTATAGAAATACATTTAAAGAACTAAAGAATAGTGCCAAACAACTAAGTAAAAGCATAGAAGGATGACTAAAGAGAATAGGTAAACATGTATCAACTGTTAAAGAACAATTCTGTTGATCTCTATTTTAGGATGTACAATAAATTTAGATTTCGATTACAAGGTTAAGACTTACATGTGCTTTTTTCTAACAGAATCCCAAAATAAATGAATCTAAAACTGAAATAATTGAAGAAAAAGATAGAATTTCAGTACTAACACTCTTCTATTTTCAATAATGGATAGAAACACTAGGTTGAAGATAAACATTATAAATGAAATATAGATTAGCAAATATCTATTGAACACAATAGATACTATCCAACAATATACCAAAAATACATTATCTTCAAGTGCATGTGAAACATTTTTCTGGATAGATCTACATTAAATGATAAATAAGCCTCAATAAAGTCTAAGTATTTTACATGGCTGCAACTAGAGACCATACTCTCAAGGGAAATGAAACAGACCCTCAAGCGCAAATACCACATTGTCTCCTTAGTGTGAGAACCTGAAAAAGAAAATGGACTCTGAAGGGTACAACAGGTACTGGAGAAAGGGAATGAAGCTGTTCAAAAGGAAGGAATTACTGAGTTGAGAAAAAGGACAGAAAAGGGTGTGGGGGAAAAAGATATGTCTATGCATGTAAGCAGGATGGTTTGGACAACTGTACTCTGGATTTCTGCTGGTCTATAGAAAGGAACAGCTGGTGCTTAATTTGTGTTGTCTCCTTTTTTCAATTCTTTCACCTTTTCCACTTCTTAATCCCTTATATATTTCTTTCTTTCTTCTTCCAATTTTGCATGCATATATCTGGTTATATGAATAGCTAATTTGAAGACAACACTATGCAGTACAACAAATACTGTCAAATTCATACTGTCAAACTCATATTATTTTGTTTAGTGAAATTCTGTATCTTTTTTTGGGGGAGGGGGTGTCTGGGATTGAATTTAGGACGCTGTGCTTGCCAGGCAAGCACTTATTCTACTGAGCTATCTCCCTGGCACCATATTCTGTATCATTTTTTAATTTTTCCATTTTAATACTATTTTGTACTCTCTTTAAAAAATAAAAAGTTTTAAAAAGTCAAAGTATTTTACCTTATGCAAGTTTTGTTCTCTGAAAATAATGGGATGTAACTGGAATTTCATTGAACAAAAAGAAACAAGAAATTTAGCACAGCATGGAAATTAAGCAACAGAAACCTAAAAACCAAAAGGTCAATGAACAAATCATAGGGATATTAAAAAATACATTGAAATGAATGAAAGTAAAAACACATTTACAAACTTATGAGGCACAATAAAAGCAGTGCCTAAGCTGAAATGTATAGTTGTGAACCCCAATATAATAAGAAAACACCTCAAATCAATAACCTAACTTTCCACCCTAAGGGAAATAATATTGTTCAAAGCACAGAAATATTGTGAGAACAAAAAGTGGAAAGGTGATGCAAGAAATCAGAAAAACTAGACTTCTTGAAATTTCAAGCAACATGGACAAATCTGTAGTAGGACTAAGGGAGAAGACACACATCGTCTAAATCAGAGAGAACAGGATGGCGCTCTTGGGGGTAACTCCAGAATGTGTAAGGCCTTCAGTATGGAGGGCATGTGTGGAGGGCAGACAGCACTGCCAGCCTTCAAGAAGCAACAAATTGATTATAAGAAAAAAGTATAAACCATTATGGGCCAACAAATCATGTAACATTTAAAAAATGGGCAAATTCTGAGAAACGCCAGAAGTATCTAGACTAAGTCAAGAAGACCTAGAAAATGTCGCAGCTACTACAAATTAAAGACAAAAGAGCTGAATGAGATAAATTTCACAAAGATTGTCCCAGTAAAGATCACTTAACTCCTAAATTCTACTAATATTTAAAAATATTTAATTCCAATTCTTCTGAAAATCTTCCAAATGTTGAAATAAAGAGAACATTTTCCAAATGACTTTGGCAGGCTAGTTACATTGCCTACTACTGAAGCCAAAGACATTATGAGAAAGCTAAAGATCAATATTCATGACACAGATGTAAAAATATTCAATACAGTACTATAAGATACACAAAAGATTACATGATATAATCAAGGGAGAATTATCCCATCAAGATAAGATTGATTTAGCATACGTAATCTAGACCTTTATAAAGATACCGGAATTTCCACCTAAGGATGGGAGGTTGAGCAAGCGTAGTTATGTCATTTGTCCTAGTCACCCAGGATGTAATGAGTGTCCTCAAAATTAGTAAACTGAGGCACCCACCTTCACAACCTGCACTTCAACGTTTGCTGCTTTCTAGTGGCTGCTGAGAGCTAGTACACTGTATTAGTAGTTTCTGTTTACTGCGGATTCAGTGCTAATCCTCAAAAGCATTAAAAGTTCAAAGATTAAGACATACTTCTAGTCCGGATTATGTGTTTTATTAGTGCAGTGTTGTTTGTCTTGCAGTGTTTCTTCTTTGTAGAACAGGTAACTGAATGTTAGCTTTCGCTTTGTGCTAGTAAGGTATAACTATACAGAATACACTACACGTATTCAAAGTGTCCCAAGTTAACAGTTTTAATTCATGTATGTCTACTTGTGGAAAACCACCAGTATGATGAAGGGAATGAATGTATTTTTTGTCTTAAAAAAGGAGCCACTAATGCAGTGTACTAGCTATCAGTAGCCGCCAGGAGGCAGCAAACGCTGAAGTGCAGGCTGTGAAGGCGGGCTCTCTCAGTTTACTTATTTTGACAATTACATCCTGTGTAGGACAAATGACAGAACTAGGCTTGCTCAGCCTCCCATCCCTATGTGGAAATTGCAGTACATTTATAGTGTGCTAGAGAGGGTTGCCGATCAGGGTGTGCCCCGTGAAGCTATTGCTCATGAATAATTTCCTAGGTAGTAGACTATTTCCCTCTAAAGAGACCCTATCCCTTTAGAAAAATGGATGATTACAAGCCAAACACAGGGAACACACCTGACAAGTTCTAGAATATCCTGTCATAGTAGGAAGCAAAGTACCTTCTAAAGGGTGGCATAGTCACAAAAATACTCAAAACCTGACTTGTGTTTAGTTTAGTTCCTTCTGACTAGAGACAGTACAGTTTTTGGCAAGGGATGAAAAACTCAGTGAACTAAAAAAAATACAAATTATTTTAAGTCTATGGGTTTTAAATTTTACTGATAATAATTACAATGATAAATGCTTATGGCTTATCTTTAGAGGACACTAGAAAACCAGCTTATTGTTTTTATCTGAATAAAGTTGAAAAATCATGTATCTATCCTCCTTTTCTATATAAGGTGTACCAAATTATAACTGAGTAATTAATGAAGCAAATTTCCTTTTATGGTGATATTCCATACTGTAAAGAGAGAGGAAATGATTAAGCTACGATATCATCACCTGACAACTCCTTTTAAGTAAATAGAGCTATAAATAATCAGAAATAACTGCTAATAGTTCAAGACCAAAAAAAGAAGCATTTTGTACCACCTGCTTGAAGAACAGCAAGCAAGCCTGTAACCATCAAGCGCCTAGGTTGGACTACCAATTAGCGTTCGCTAATATTAAACTACTCTGTGTGTGCGCAGTCTGAAAAATCAAGATGCAGAAAGGAAGTTCTCATAGACAAGT